AACTCGGCAACCTAAGTCTCTTTTCATACACAGCCCAAGAACGGGACAGACCCAAACAGGCAGCAGAGGAATTCCTTTCACAGCCAAGACTTTAAAGGACCTCAATTCTCTCCTGTTCTAATAGCATCTACTACCTAACGTCCAGACCTACTTAAAAAACAAAAAATTAACAAAAAAACAAACCCTGTCCTCAGGTAACCCACGTTCCCAAGAAAACACATCAGGCCTCAGAGCTCGCTATTCCCCCTGCTACAGGTCCCTTCAGTTGAGTCAGATTCCAAATGGCTCAATTTTCGAAGTATACACTTAATCTTCAACGCCAACGTTTTCACTCTCTTAACGCGCCTTTTACATCCTCCAAAGCCAGGCCCAGCTATATTACTAAGTTAATTTTTCCTCTCCTCCCTCAAAACAGCTTCTAAACATGATCTTCAGCATCTCCCCTCCCAAGAGCCCTCCTTCCCCCTCCCCACGCGGCCACAGACCCCAGCACCTTATATTGCAGCGTGCGCGGCTCGATCATCTCCAGGGGGCGCCCGTTCACCTTGATGAGGCCATTGCCCCGCTTGCAGTGTGCCACCGCTGTGGCTGTCTTCTGTAGAAAACGAGGAGGTAGCGGGACCAAGTGAGCTTTGGGCTCCGGCTGTCACGTCAACCCAAGAGCCCTCCCCATTGGCTTCCGCCAGACCCCGGCCCACCTTGCGACCGAAGACTTGCACGGACTGCAGCGGACCCTTGGACGGCATGGTTTCTAGCGCAGAGTCTGGAGCTCCTCACCGCGCGGCGCCGCAACCGGAAAAGGGAAGTTTGGGGCCACCCAGGCCGCTTTTCAGGGTCTGCGCATGCGTCTTGAGCGCCACAGCGCGACAGGAGCGAGCTTTACGGTTCACCTTGTAGCTAGGGCGGGGCCACTGGAAGAGCAGGGGGCGGGCCGAGGGCGGGCCGGGGCTGGGTCTTGGTGCCTTCGGTGGTTGAGGGTGTGCGCCCCCTCTCTGGGCGTTCCCGCTCGCGTACACCCGTCCCCAGCCCTTCTCTAGGTCGAGCCTCTGCCTCCTACCCAGGCATCCATCCCCTTCTGGGACTTCCTTGTCCTTCTCCTGGCATCCCCTTCGGATTCCGCTCGCGGGGAAGTGCGTACGCGGCGAGAACGCAAGCCTGATTCCCAGAACCCATTTTCCGCCCCCCCGAACCCGTTTTTTAAAGATCCTCTCCTCATCGTTCCTTTTCCCATGAGAGCTCCCTCCCGGAGAAACATACCTTCCACCACAATTTCTTTCCTTTCATTTTCCTCTCCGGAACCCTGGTCTCCCAGAATCCTTCACCCAGAGATCTTCATCAAATCTCTCTTCAGAGCCCTCAATCTGACTCCTAATTTTCTCCGTGAACCCCCCTGCCCTCAGAGCCCCTTTCCGGAATGAGTGGGCCGCACTTCGTGGAATCCTTTTTCTCCCACCGAACCTCCCTTTCCTCCCACACCCAGCCTTCTCAGAACAGCCTTTCACAACATCTTCCCCTCTGAGCCCCCTTCCCAAATCAACCCTTCCCCTGAATTTCTATCCCTTAGGGGAGCTCTCTCCCCACTAACCCCCTCCCTAAGAATCATACCCCCACCCCATCCGCAGGAGCCTTCCTCTTTAGGGTCCACACTTCCTCCAGAGCCCCTAGATCTGGACGAGTGTGGTGGCGCACGCCTGTAATCCCAACATTTTTTTTTTTTTCTTTTTTTTCTGAGCACTTGTTCCACTGAGCCATCTCCTTGGCCCCTCCCAACACTTTTAAGAGGCTGAGATAGGAGGATCACTTGCAAGTTCAAGGCCAATCTGGACTACATAATAGTTCAAGGCCGACCAGAAGTACATAACAAGACCTTGTCTAAAAAAAACAACCCTAAATCATCTTTACTTTTCCCAAATCACCTTCCCCCCTAGGCTCATTTCCCCACTGAATTCTCCATCCCTGGTCCTTCAGTACTGGCTGAGGAACCCCAGGTTTAGGTTGTTCCCCTCCACCCCAGTACTCTCACTAGCCAAGGAGTACCCCCCCCAAGTAGAGTTTCCCTGTTTCTCTGCCATCACAGGGTCTGATGTTCCCCCCTTATCAGAGAGAGTAGATACCAGGTTAAAATCAGAGGCAAGAATTGCCATGAGTTCAAGGCCAGCCTGAACTATGGAGATCTTACTTCAAAAAATCAAAACCCAGACAAAGATCAGAGGAGCAGAGGCCACAGGATTGATCCTCCAGCCACAGCCCCCCTACTAACAGGAGACAGACACAGCAGGGCTGGGAAGAGGATGGGAGTTCCCAGAAGCATTCCAGGAAGGGCATAAAGAGACAGCAAAAGACTGGCACACAGGGACAAAGATAAAGGGACTGGGGCCGGGGAGATAGCTCAGCAGAGTAAGCGCTTGCCTGGCAGTACAGGGTCCTGAGTTCAATCTGGTACCACAAAAAATTAAAATAATAATAATAATAATAAAGATAAAGGGAACAAGCACCAAGGGACAAGACAGACAAATGGATTCAGAAACTTCAAGACTAATAGGAACCTGGGGTTCCTCAGCCAGTACTGAAGGACCAGGGATGGAGAATTCAGTGGGGAAATGAGCCTAGGGGGGAAGGTGATTTGGGAAAAGTAAAGATGATTTAGGGTTGTTTTTTTAGACAAGGTCTTGTTATGTACTTCTGGTCGGCCTTGAACTATTATGTAGTCCAGATTGGCCTTGAACTTGCAAGTGATCCTCCTATGGTGGCGTATTCCTGTAGTAATCTCAACACTGGGGAGACTGAAGCAGGATTGTTTAGAGTTCAAGACCAGCCTGGACTACAAATTGAGCTCAACATAGTGAAACCCTGTCAGAAAGAAAGGGGCTAGGGAGATGGCTCAGTAGAATAAGGGCTTCCCTGACAAATGTGAGGGCCTGAGTTCAATGCCCAGTACAATCTTTTTTTCCACACACCCCCCCAAAAAAAAGGAAGGATGACAGGAGAAACCTTTGGGCTGGAGAGATAGCTCAGTGGTCTAAGTGCCTGCCTGGCAAGCACAAGGACCCCAGTTCAATCCCCCGTATAGCATGCTGTGCTGCCCTGGAAACCTGGGCAAGCCTAGCTGTGTAGCGAGACCTGGCACACACCTGTAATCTCAGCTCCTGGGAGGCTGTAAACAGGCGGATCACTATGAGTCTGATCTATTAGTGAGACCCTGAACACCCTGTAGACCCTCACCTAAAATACAAAAAAAAAAAAAAAGAGAGAGAGAGAAAAGAAATAAAGAAAGAGGGGCTAGGGCTGGTGAGATGGCTCAGTGATCTAAAGCACCTACTTAGAACAAGCTTAGCAAAGCACAGGGACCGCTGTTCAATCCCCCAGCACCACATGCCAGCCAGCCCCGTCCCCTGGTGGGCTGAGCTGGCCACGCGCGGCAACACACACACACACACATAAATAATTAATAAAATTTTAACAAAAAAAATAAATAAAGGGAGGAAGGAAGGAAAGAGACTGAGGTGCCAACCCTAAGAGAAGAAAGACAATGCAGGCAAGCAGGAAGGCCTCAAAATACTTGAGACACAAATAGAAATGTAACTGGAGCAGAACCCCCAGGCACCTACAGGTGCAGATGAGGCACAGCACAGGTGCGTCCCCAGGAGAGCCCAGGCCCCAAGTGCACACACTCCTGTCCCAGGGTTCAGAGCTCTTCAGCCCTGTGGGCTGATTCTCACACTCTTGCCAATTCTTGCATCTGCCCTTTGCTTGGCAGCCTTGCCTCCTCTGAGGTCACCTATATTCCCCTGCCTCTCAGGGTGCGTCCCCTGAGAATCTGTGACAGGGCGCAGTTCTCTCCTGCTCCAGTTTTGCTAACCCCATCCCTTTCTCTGTACCTCTCTTCTTGAGTCCTTGAAGGAGGGAGGGCTCATGTAGCCTTTCTGGACCATTCTCCTGCCGGGAGAGGCTCATGTAGCCTTTCTGGACCATCCTCTGACCCCTGCATCAGCCTAAGCAAGTGCTTTAATCCGCTGAGCTATCTGGTCGGCCCAGGAGCCCCATTTTGGAGATGCAGAAAGTCAAGAGCATTGCCAGGAAGGAAGTTGGAGACCTCAGGGACTGCCCTCTACTTCTACTGGAGGAACTAGTTTTATTTTCTGCCAGCCAGCATAAAGACACTGGGAAGAAGGGGCAGAGCCAGAAGATGCAGGTGGAGGGTATTTGAGAAAGGGCCAAGCTCCCTTTACCAAGATCTGATTCTCTTCTTACTCACAAATTACAGGGAAACAGGAAGGATGATTGTACCTTCTATACCTGAAATGATCTCCTGGAGGCCTCAGCCTCCTGAGTACTGGGATTAACTGCACCACCACTCCACGCTCATCCTGGACATCACGGATGGACATGTTGTCCATTTTGGACAGATCTGTCAATTGCCAGAAGATGGCAGTAAAGGATCTTGTTCTAATACAATCATCATAGTATTTTAAGGAAGAAATACCTTTATTTTTATTTTTTCCTTTTTATGGATTTTAGTACAGAGTCTACAGGATTTCACTATGTAGATTGTACTTGCAGTGATTCTCCTGTTTTCAGCTTCCCAAGCACTGGGATTACAGGTGTGCGCCACTATACCCAGTCTCAGTCCCAGTCTCAGCAAGCGCCAAGAGCAGGGCCAGCACGGCAGGCCAGGAATCAAACCTCTGACCCCTGCATCTGCCTAAGCAAGTGCTTTAATCCGCTGAGCTATCTGGTCGGCCCAGGAGCCCCATTTTGGAGATGCAGAAAGTCAAGTGCAGAGCTGTGAAGGGGGTTGTCACAAATCAGAAACCTTGGAGACAGTCACTTGGCACCCCAGAGTTGTGTCCTGCTGAGACTCTAGGGTGCATCAGCCTGGCATTGCCTGGGATCAGGGCTGAGGACAGCTCATCTGGGGTGGAGTGGGGGCTTCTGTGTTCTGGCTGCAGTGCAGGTTGGAATCCCAGTGGTGGCTGGCCAGCCAGGGCCCTGCCTGCCCTTTCTGAAGGACAACCCCTGGGACCCATGCCCTCTGTCTGACCAGACTCTTGGGGTTATTACATGGGCTTGGATTGGCCCCTTCTTGAAGCATGGGCCTTGGAATACAATCTGCTGGAAAGAGAGACAGAGACAGGGAGAGAGAAAACTAGCCTAGTCCCAGATCCCTAACTGTATTCCTAATTCAATCCCCGGATCAGAAAGAAAAAAAAAAAAAAAAA